TTTCACCATGTTGACCAGGATGGTCTCGATCTCTTGACCTTGTGATCCACCCGCCTCGGCCTCCCAAAGTGCTGGGATTACAGGCTTGAGCCACCGCGCCCGGCAATTTTTTTTTTTTTTAATTTGAGACAGCATCTTGCTCTGTCACCCAGGCTGGAGTGCAGTGGTGCGATCTCAGCTTATTGCAACCTCTGCCTCCTGGGCTCAAGTGATCCTCTCACCTCAGCCTCCAGAGTAGCTGGGACCACAGGCGCATACCACCACACCCAGATAATTTTTTGTATTTTTAATAGAGATGGGGTTTCGCCATGTTGGCTCCGTGGTCTTGAGCTCCTGGGCTCGGGCGATCCACCCTCCTCGGCCTCCCGAAGTGCTGGGAGTACACGTGTGAGCCATTGCGTCTGGCCAATTTTTTTTCTACCATTTGGATGTAAAATTTCTGATTTGTAGAGAAGCAGAATTTAGCACCTAGAAGACTCGGGTGGCTTCCACGCTTGGCAAAGCTGGCTAAAGGGCATGCCCTCCCGTGGGTTCGAAGCCGAGGTTCAGCTGAGTCCCAACGCCCTTCCGCACCAGACTCCTCGCCAGGGCCGAACACTTCCTTTGTTTTGGTTGGCATTGAGGTGACTGGTTATTATCAGGCTTGATCATCCAGCCTAAAACCAAGGGCCACAAATGTGCCCTCCGGGAGGCTTGGCAGGAACTGGAAGAAAGACACTGCCTTCCCTGGGCTTGGCTCAGGGGCAGGCACTTAGGCCCAGCTCCCTGTTCCTGGAGCCAATCCTGAAATGACGGGCCTTGCAAAAGGAGGTGGGATGAGACTTACCTTAGCTGCAGAAGCACAGTCAGGGGCCTGGCCAGCCACGACGCTGGCAGCAGCGTCCCACGGCCTCCGTCAGGCTTGGCTGGGATTCCACCCGGTTTTTCTGTTTGTTTGCTTTTGTTTTGCTTTTTGAGATAGGGTCTCACTATGTCGCCCAGGCTGGAGTACAGTGGTGTGATCACGGCTCACTGCAGCATCAGACCTCCCAGGCTCAATCAATCCTTAACTCAGCCTCCCAAACAGCTGGGACATCAGGCACATGCCACCACGCCTGGCTAATTTTTTGCATTTTTTGTAGAGTTGGGGTTTTGCCATATTGCCCAGGTTTTTATTGGCGGTGGGGGGAGGGTTACATGCTTGTTTGCTAGAATCTGTAGGCACGGTGGCAGGTAGAAGATGGACCAGACGAAAAATAAATCAACACAGAAAATCTGTAAGTGGTTGGCATGTTGTGCGCACTGGAAAAGTGGCTTCAGACCCCTTTAACAGAGCCTTGTCTTTGAAGATGTAATTCTCCCATCCAAGTACCAACCAGGCCCGACCCTACTTAGCTTCCAAGATCAGACCAGAACAGGTGTGTTCAGGGTGGTCTGGTGATAGGCTGAAAATATATTTCTCTCCTTTCAGGGTATGGTCAAGCTCTTTTCAGGCCGAAAGCCCATGTTGTACAGCTTCCAGACGTCACTGCCTCGCCTGCCGGTCCCGGCTGTCAAAGACACTGTGAACAGGGTAGGTGTGGGGTAGGTCTCACGCTGAAACGCCAGGCATCTGTGGATGAAGGCTTAGGTCTTGGTTATGATGAACTAGGCCACCACCATTGGGCCATAGGAGCCTTCAGCCATGCGCCTGGTAGCGTTCTCATAGGAAGTCTTTTTTTTTTCCCTTCCAGTGCATCACTGCTGCATCTTAGATGTTTTTTAAAAAGTATTGTGTTTCTTTTTTTTGAGACGGAGTTTCACTATGTTACCCAGGCTGGAGTGCAATAGCGCGATCTCGGCTCACCGCAACCTCCGCCTCCTGGGTTCAGGCAATTCTGCCTCAGCCTCCTGAGTAGCTGGGATTACAGGCACGCACCACCATGCCCAGCTAATTTTTTGTATTTTTAGTAGAGACGGGGTTTCACTATGTTGACCAGGGTGGTCTCGATCTCTTGACCTTGTGATCCACCCGCCTCGGCCTCCCAAAGTGCTGGGATTACAGGCTTGAGCCACCGCGCCCGGCCAAAAGTATTGTGTTTCATAGAGAAACTGCTTGGTGCATTTTTTTAAAAGTTTTATTTCATTTTATTTATTATTATTTTAAAGATAGGGTTTCACCATGTTGGCCAGGATGGTCTCCATCTCCTGACCTCATGATCCACCCACCTCAGCCTCCCAAAGTGCTGAGATTACGGGCGTGAGCCACTGCGCCTGGCCTTATTTTATTTTATTTTTTGAGGGGGACTGTCCCTCTGTCACCCAGGCTGGAGTGCAGTGGCGCAATCTCAGCTCACTGCAACTTCCACCTCCCTGGTTCAAGCGTTCTCCTGCCTCAGCCTCCCACGTAGCTGGGATTATAGGTGTGTGCCACCACGCCTGGCTAATTTTTGTATTTTTAGTAGAGACAAGATTTCACTATATTGGCCAGGCTGGACTCGAACTCCTGATCTCAAATGATCCACCCACCTTGGCCTCCCAAAGTGCTAGGATTACAGGCCTGAGGTGCTGCACCTGGCCCTCCCCATCTCTGCTCTTCTGTGCCCAGGCTTGCCAGTCAGGGCTGATGGCGGCCTCTGTTCCACTGGCAGGATGAGGGGAGGGTGAGACGTTCGACCTTCAGTGACCTCCATCTGTGTTTGTAGCTGAGGGTCCCACCTCAGCACACTCAGAGCATGATTTTCTGTCTCATTCACGGGCACTTTGAATAGGCCTCAAGATGCTTGGCAGCTGGCCCCTCCGCTTTTCTTTGGAGACAGTCTCACTCTCTCACCCAGGCTGGAAGGCAGTGTCGCCGTCTAGCTCACTGCAGTCTCGAATTCCTGGGCCTGAGTGATCCTCCTGCCTTAGTCTTCCAAGTAGCTGGGACCACAGGTGTGCACCAGTATGCCTGCAACTAGTTTTTTGTAGAGACGGGGCTCTTGCCATGTTGCCCAGGCTGGTCTTGAACTCCTGGGCCCAAGCAGTCCTCCCAGTTCAGCCTCCCAAACTACTGAGGTTACAGGCATGGGCCACCATGCCCAGCCACAACTGGTCCTTTTAAGGGAGTGGGATCTTACTTTTCAACGTACAGAGAGGGGCCCTAGCAAGATTACTGTTGCACCAAGCCTTTATTTTTTTACAGCAGACAACTTGTAGGATTAAAATATTCCATGACAAATTGTGGGGTTGGCAACAGTTTTATGTTTTGTGTGTTGCGGCGGAGAGACGGCATCTCGCCCAGGCTGGAATGCGGTGGTGTGATCCTGGCTCGCCACAGCTTCGAACGCCTGGGCCCAAGTGATCCTCCCACCTCAACCTTCCAAGTAGCTGGGACCACAGACGCGTGCCACTGCCCCCAGCTAATTTTTGTCATTTTTTGCAGAGACGGGGTTCCACTCTGTTGCCCAGGCTGGTCTTGAACTGGTCAAGATTGCTTGGCTCAAGCAGTCTTCACACCTCAGCCTCCCAAAGTGCTGGGATTACAGGTGTGAGCTACCGCACCTGACCAGTTTTACTTTCCTTTTTTTTGAGACGGAGTCTCACTCTGTTGCCCAGGCTAGAGTGTAGTGCTAGCTCACTGCAGTCTTGAATTCCTGGGCCTGAGTGATCCTCCTGCTGAACCGGGAGGACTGCTTGGGCCCAGGAGTTCAAGACCAGCCTGGGCAACATGGCAAGAGCCCCGTCTCTACAAAAAACTAGTTGCTAGTAGCACAATCTCGGCTCGCTGCAACCTCTGTCTCCCAGGTTGAAGTGATTCTCCTGCCTCAGCCTCCTGAGTAGCTGGGATTATAGGTGCCTGCCACCATGCCCAGCTAATTTTTTGTATTTTAGTAGAGACAGGGTTTCACCGTGTTGCCCAGGCTGGTCTTGAACTTCTAACCTCGTGATCTGCCTGCCTTAGCCTCCCAAAGTGCTGGGATTATAGGTGTGAGCCACTGCGCCCGACCCCGTTTTACTCTCTGTAAGTGCTTGCTTAGGTTTCTTGCGGAAGCTTTTGAATGTCTTTTTAAAAAATTGCTTTCTGTGTTTTCACCTCTGAGCATTTGTTCAACCAAAGCCGCTCATGGAAAGGGACGAGGTGGGGCAGGGGCTGAAAATCCTGAACCTGGGACCCTGGCCCTGGCCCTGGCCTGGTTCTGTGACCTATTCCAGCCCCTACTTCCCATCCTGTGGCCTCAGCACCTGCCCAGCCCCAGCACCTGGCTCACAGCACGACTCTGCCCTATCTCGTGGTCACCATCACGGGTTGTCGAAGCTTCCTTAGGTCAGAGCAGATCTTTTATTAATGGCCAGATAATAGATAAGAGACATTCTTGAAATTTCCTTGTTAATTTTTCTAGTGAACTCTAGAATTTATTTTAAATTCTAAAAATTTAATGGTGATTTTCTTATGATGCAGGATTTGGGGCACTTTAAAAGCTAATAAATGAAGAAAAAGTTTAATTGTTAAATTATCATTACCCCATGACACCATTTAGCCTTGAAGTGAGTTAACCTGTCCAAGGACTGATAAGACCAACTTGGAGGAAGAGTCTAAACTTTTGTTGTTTTAGATAGGGTCTCACACTGTTGCCCAGGCTGCGGTGCAGTGGCGTGATCACGGCTCACTGCAGCCTCGGCCTTCTGGGCTCAAGCAATCCTCCCACCTCAGCTCCCAGGTAGTTGGGACCACAGACATGCACCACCATGCCCAGCTAATTTTTATCTTGTTTTTTTTTTGTAGAGATGGGGTTTCACCATGTTGTCTAGGCTGGTCTTGAACTCCTGAGCTCAAGCAATCCACTGGCCTCGGCCTCCCAAACTGCAGGGGTTACAAGCATGAGCCGCCATGCCCAGCCTAAAACGCGTTCAGTGTGTTAGAGCTTTTCCTAAGGCTCAGGTGAGGCAACCGTAGACTTTGATGAATGTATTTTAACTTGGGTGATTTTTTTTTTCCCCTTGATAATCTCAGTATCTAGAATCTGTGAGGCCTCTCATGAAAGAAGAGGACTTCAAACGGATGACGGCCCTTGCTCACGATTTTGCTGTCAGTCTTGGACCAAGATTACAGTGGTATCTGAAGTTGAAATCCTGGTGGGCTACAAATTACGTAAGTCTGTGTACCCAGTTTTTCTCCATGAAATTTTTCTGTATGAAGATGCTAACTTTGAGGGGCAGGGATAACAGTTTTGATTACCCAGAATCGCACCTTAGGAAGTTCCAGCGATGGTTTTACCTGCCTGCAGAGTGGGGTGTGTGTGTGTGTGTTAGGACTGATGCATAGTGACAGTGACAGTTTCTTGGTTTTGGGATTTTTTTTGTAGAGACAGGGTGTCACTGTGTTGCCCAGACTGGTCAAATTCCTGGGCTCAAGTGATCCTCTCACCTGGCCTCCCAAAGTGCTGGGATTACAGGCACGAGCCACTGCGCCCAGCCTCCAGGGATAGTTTACCGTGAGTGCAGGTGCACCGGCACGATGCTGTGATTTGCACGCAGGAGCCCTCTCCCTCTTCCCCGGGAGTCTTCCTGTGAGCTGTTTCTCCTGCAGCGGTGCCGGGCTGCCCCAGAGACCTGCTCCCGTCCTTCTCTTTGGTTTCTCTTGATTCCAAGGGCATCCTTCCCGAGCTTGCTGGTGGATGCAGGGATGGTGCGGGATAGGGCAGTGCTGATTGCCCCTCACTGGGGTTGAGTGTGGCTCAGTGGTCCCACGAGCATCCCCTCCAACAAAGCGTCTTAGCGGTCGCCCTGTGTGCCAGGAGACAGGTGGGCTTCCACGTGCTGGGAGGGCGAGAGCAGGCCTCTGGCAGATGAAGCAAGGGAGTCTAGCTTTGAGGAACAGCTAACACGGGAGAGAAGGTGTCCAAAGTGACCCTGACAGAACCAGTAGGTGGTGCTAGAAGTCACATCACGGGTGGATGGGCAGGGCCCGGACGGGTCTCTCCAGAGGGGCTGGGCATGTTCTGTTTTCCTTCTTTGATGGTTGCATGAGTATGCTGGATTTGTAAATAGCAGCTCTCTGCTGCACACAACACCCTTGCATGGGCACCGTTCTGTAGGTACATGTGTTTCAGCACAAAGCTGGAAAGGAAGCAATCCCTGGGTCCAGCAGGCTAGGAAGGAAGAGCAGCTGTGAGGTGGTTGGGGGGACTGGCTTTGGGTGGCCTCAGGACGCAGATGCCAGGGAATAGAGACAACACCTGCAGAATGCCAGGTCAGTGCCGCGGACTGAGACGGTGGCTTCTTCAGGGAGACCTGGGAAGCAGGAAGAGGAGAAGCAGTCTGTGGAGCAATTTCGCATAACATTTTGTTTTGTTTTGTTTTGTTTTTGAGAGGGAGTCTCGCTCTGTCACTCAGGCTGGAATGCAGTGGTGCGACCTCAGCTCACTGCAATCTCCGCCTCCCGAGTTCAAGCAATTCTCCTGTCTCAGCCTCCTGAGTAGCGGGGATTACAGGCGCCTGCCATCATGCCCAGCTAATTTTTGTATTTTTAGTAGAGACGGGGTTTCATCATTTTGGCCAGGCATGTCTGGAACTCCTGAGCTCAAGTGATCAGCCTGCCTCAGTCTCCCAAAGTGCTGGGATTACAGGCGTGAGCCACTGCACGTGGCCTTTGTTTCTGTTTTCTTTTATTTGAGAAAGGGTCTTGCTTGTTGCCCAGGCTGGAATGCAGTGTTACGATCATAGCTCACTGTCGTCTCGAACTCCTGGGCTCAAGTGACCCTCCTGCCTCATCCTCCCAAGTAGCTGAGACTATGGGCGTGAGCCACCATACCTGGCTGATTTCTTAAATTGTTTTGTAGAGGTGGAGCCTCGCTGTGTTGCCCAGGCTGGCTTCAAAGTCCTGGCATCAAATGATCCTCGTCCCAGCCTCCCAAAGTGCTGAGTTTACAGCTGTGAGCCACCGTGCCCAGCCCATAGTACTGGTTTTTAAAACTCGTTAGCAGTCAGACATCTATGATTTACTTTCCATTTAGTCTTTAAAAAATTTTTTTTATTTTATTCTTTTTAATGTAGAGCGAGAGCCTTGCTATGTTGCCTAGCCTGGTCTCGAACTCCTGGCCTCAAGCAGTCCTCCCACTCGGCTTTTTTTTTTTTCCCCTTTTGACCATCTACAAAATGAAGGTGACTACCTTCTTTCTGCCTGTCTCAACTTCAAAGGAACACTTTGCGTTTCCCATGGTGTCGCATCCCATCTCGTTAGGACTGTATTCCCTGTTCTGGAATGGGCCCCGTTAGACGCAGAAATGTCTGCCACAAGCACTGCCTGCCATTCCCCGTGGCTCTGGGCAGCTGCCGCGGAGCCTGCCCGGCCCACTGAACCTGCGGGTTTGTCTGGTGTTTGTGCCCACTAGGTGAGCGACTGGTGGGAGGAGTACATCTACCTCCGGGGACGAGGGCCACTCATGGTGAACAGCAACTACTACGCGATGGTGAGTCCCCAGCCCGGCCGGCTGTCGGAGGGGGCGGTGGGGCGACGGGTCTGTCCACAGAGGTGGCATCTTCACAAGCCCGTGGGCGGCCTCAGAAAGCTCCGGGGATTGGCTCCTGCTCCTCCCTGTCCTGCTTCCAGGCTGGAGAAGCCGGTGAGTGCCCTTCAGTATCAGTCTAGCAGCCCAGGGTGCTCTGTTTCTGCAGGGGGGTTTGGGTTGCAAAACTAAGTTTGTGGCAAGCAGTAATTCCTCACTGTGCTGTACCTGTCCCGCTGCTTTTTTGTTTTTGGTTTTTGTTGTGTTTTGTTTTTGAGACAGAGCTTTTCTCTTGTCACCCAGGCTGGAGTGCAACAGCGCCATCATGGCTCCCTGCAGCCTCCGCCTCCTGGGTTCAAGTGATTTTCCTGCCACAGCCTCCCAAGTAGCTGGAATTATAGGCACCCGCCACCATGCCTGGATAATGTTTGTATTTTTAACATAAATTTATTTTTATTTTTATTTATTTTTTTAAAACGGGTTTTCACCATGTTGGTCAGGCTGGTCTTGAACTCCCGACCTCAGGTGATCCACCCACCTTGGCTTCCAAAGTGCTTGGATTACAGGCGTGAGCCACCACGCCCGGTCTCAGTGTTTGTGTTTTTAATAGAGACGGGATTTCACCATGTTGGCCAGGCTGGTCTCAAACTCCAGACCTCATGTGATCCACCCGCCTCAGCCTCCCTGTGTGCTGGGATTACAGGTGTGAGCTGCTGTGCCCAGCCTGTCCTGCATTTTATGACTTAACACTGGAACTTAGTGCCACAGTGGCCTTAAAATCCCTGCAGAACCCCAGGGCTCAGGGACAGTGGATCAGCAAAGACCCTGCCACCGACGTGCTGCGCTGCCCCCTTCTGTTTCCTGAGACGCTAGAGGGGTGTGTATCCAGGGTAGTTTCATGTTTCCTGGGCTTCGTCTTTCAAAGCATGGATGGTTAGAAGACCCCTCACTTTGGGATCTCAACCACTGGTTTATTAAGTGGCAAATAGAATTCTCTTTCCTTTTCCTTCTATTCCTTCACTTCCTTCTTTTTTTTTTATGCCACTATCAAGGACGTGAACACTTCCTTCTATTTTTTCCCGTCGTTTATTTTTTCTTCATCATTTACTTTTTTCTTTTTTTTTTCTTTTTTTGAGATGGAGTCTCGCTCTGTTGCCAAGTCTAGAGTGTAGTGGCACGATTCTGCTCACTGCAGCCTCCCATTCCAGCAATTCCCCTGCCTCAGCCTCCCGAGTACCTAGGATTACAGGCGATTGCCACCATGCCTGCCTAATTTTTGTAGTTTTTAGTAGAGACGGGGTTTTGCCATATTGATCAGGCTGGTCTCGAACTCCCGACATCAGGTGATCCGTGCGCCTCAGCCTCCCAAAGTGCTGGGATTACTGGCGTGGTGAGCCACCACACCCTGCCTATCATTTGCTTTTTCTGTTTTTCTTCGTTTCAAAATTTCCCTTTTTCTCTTAACTTTTTTTTTCCTCCATCTGAAATATCTCAAACTGAAAAGAAAAACCATCATTCTAGTCCGTAGAACTTCTTTTCCTGCTCTGTCTGTGAGTGAGCTGTTTATCTGATGCCCTTCCCGCTGGGAGGCCTGTGTTCGTTTCCTGCAAACAGAGGCACTTTCGACATCATTGGGCACTCGGTGTGCGCATAGACTCTTCCAAAATGTAGGTTAGGCCTGTCTTCCTTGGCCCTTCCTCCAATTGTGGAAAATGTAGACATTTGGAGCAGGGTCTGAGAATTTAGAAAGTTGCAGGCCTGGCTCTATATAAACAATTATTTCAACCTTTTGCCTGTCTCAATCAGAAAACCTCTTCATTGTCTCATTTCTCTCTGACTAATTTTTGCTTAGCTTTCTCTGTGTTACATGAGGATATTTGGTGCAAATAGTTATCTTTAATAGCCCAAGAATTTGGGAGGACATATGTTCTCCTAAAACATTAACCAAGTTTAGAAGACAAAGCGTAGATAATCAAATGACCATGTATTTTGTAGCATTGCAGATGTAACAGGATACATCTCTAGAAATATTTTGGCAGTGTGCAGGGTGCGCGGTGATATATTTAACTTTGCTTATTTCCTATGCAGATTCTCTCCATGTGACCTTTTTCGCTTTTCAGGATCTGCTGTATGTTCTTCCAACTCACATTCAGGCAGCAAGAGCGGGCAACGCCATCCATGCCATCCTGCTGTACAGGCGCAAACTGGACCGGGAGGAAATCAAACCAGTAGGCAAACACATTGCTTTAAAAAATTCTTGTAAAACAGCTTTACAGAGGTATAACTGACATATTGTACATGTTGAAAGTATACTGTCTGTGGCCGAGCACCGTGGCTCATGCCTGTAATCCCAGCACTTTGGGAGGCTGAAGCAGGCAGATCATCTGAGGTCAGGAGTTCAAGACCAGCCTGGCCAACATGGTGAAACCTCATCTCTATTAAAATACAGAAATTAGCCGGGCATGGTGGCACGTGCCTGTAATCCCAGCTACTTGGGAGGCTGAGGCAGGAGAATCATTTGAACCCAGCAGGCAGAGATTGCAGTGAGCCAAGATCATGCCATTGCACCCCAGCCTGGGTGATAAGAGCAAAACTCTATCTCAAAAAAAAGTTAAAAAATAAAATGTACAGTTTGATAACTTCTGATGTGTATCTACTGATGCACTTAAGAAACCATCATCACCGCAGCCAGGATGGCAAATACATCGGTCACCCCCAAATCCCCCTCTGCCCTTTGTCATTTCTCCCACCCACGTGGTCCTGGACCCCCAGTCTACTATCTGTCACTCTAGATTAGTTTGCAATTTCCAAAGCTTTACTTAAGTGGAATTTTACGGTATACACTCTTTTTTCTAAATTCTAGTTTCTTTCACCCAGCCTAATTATTTTGAGATATAATTCTCCTTGTGTCTCCTAAATGAATATATATTTGTGGTACTTTACTTCTGTAAGCTGTCCTTCAAAAAAGCCCTTGTTTTTGAACTAATAATAGTGGCTGGTGAGTTGCTTGTGAGAAACAAAACATTTCTTCCTTAAATAGTTCTTTGGTTTTAAGTGTCAGTTATAAATAATCAATTAGGCTGGGCATGGTGGCTCACACCTGTAATCCCAGAGGCCAAGGCAGGCGGATCACAAGGTCAGGAGATTGAGACCATCCTGGCCAACATGGTGGAACCCCATCTCTACTAAAAATATAAAAAATTAGCCGGGCGTGGTGGCACGCATCTGTAGTCCCAGCTACTCAGGAGGCTGAGGCAGGAGAATCACCTGAACCCAGGAGGTGGAGGTTGCAGTGAGCCGAGGTCATGCCAGTGTACTCCAGGCTAGGCATCAGAGCGAGACTCCATCTCAAAAAATAAAATAAATAAATAATCGATTAGACTGTGTTATTTAGTATTTAACCATACAGGAAGTTGCACTCTGGCATGGTTTAACGAGTCCCCCAACAAACCATTCCAGGGAGCCACTGGGAAAGTTGAAGTCAAACCAAGCAATTTGTGCGGAAAACGCATTCGGCATTTCCTTCTGTGGTCTTGCTGCCTTTGTTCTATGGGATGTTCGTTGTTGGCTTGGAATATGTTTCTATTACAGATTTGTCTTTTGGGATCCACGATTCCACTCTGCTCGGCTCAGTGGGAGCGGATGTTTAATACTTCCCGGATCCCAGGAGAGGAGACAGGTGGGTGAGGCTTCGCCGGGCTCCCTGGGGACTGGGCACTTTCCATCCCTGTGCTCAGCATGAGGAGCTGTCAAAGGAAATGTCAGAGGGGCCGCACTGTTTTTTGCTGCTTTCCTGAGATTATAGGCTATAATAGCAGATTCCTTCTGCTGAATTTCCCTTGTCTTTATTAGGCCTGGACTGTTATTTCCAGATCTTAATTTCTCTTTGGCTGAAGACTGTCGTCTGTCTTATAGAGTGTTTCACTTTTTTTAGTCGTTGTTTGAGATGAGGTCTCTGTCTGCCACCCAGGCTGGAGTACAGTGACATGATCACGGCTCACTTCAGCCTCCACCTCCTGAGCTCAAGGGATCCTCCCATCTTAGCCTCCCCAGTAGCTGCGACCACAGGCACATGCTATAATACCCAGCTAATTTTGGCATTTTTTATAGCGATGAGGTTTTGCCATGTTGCCCAGGCTGCTCTCAAACCCCTGGACTCAAGTGATCTGCCCGCCTCAGCCTCCAGAAGTGCTGGAATTACAGGTGTGCGTCACATCCAGCTGAGAGTTTTTTTTCTGGGTCTGCTTAAATATACCTGTTTCTTCATCTGATTCCTCGGGGCATTTGCTCACAGGCAGGGTTTGTGGTGGAGCACACTGGGCGCATGCTCAGGAAGGTGGATTTGTGTTCCACCCGAGTAGCTGGGACTACAGGCACCCGCCACCACACCCAGCTAAATTTTGTATTTTTAGTAGAGGCGAGGTTTCATCATGTTGGCCAGGCTGGTCTCGAACTCCTGACTTCAAATGATCCGCCCACCTGGGCCTCCCAAAGTGCTGAGATTACAGGTGTGAGCCACTGCACCTGGCCTTGGGTAATTTGTTTGAGGTCGTAATCTAATGAGTGACCAAGCTGAGCAAAGAAGTCAGGCCTGTCTGATCCAGAGCTTTGACTCTGTGCTGTTCTTCATGATTTAAAACGTCTTGGGGAATAGGCTCCTGAGGCTGCCTGGAGAGACAGAGTAGGGACCCCATGCCCTTTAAACGGTCAGGGTACGGTGGTCTCAGCCCGCGCTGAACTTGTGACTCTTGATGTTGTGTCTCTGACCCGCGGTGGGCTCAGACACCATCCAGCACATGAGAGACAGCAAGCACATCGTCGTGTACCATCGAGGGCGCTACTTCAAGGTCTGGCTCTACCACGATGGACGGCTGCTGAAGCCCCGGGAGATAGAGCAGCAGATGCAGAGGATCTTGGACGACACCTCGGAGCCTCAGCCCGGGGAGGCCAGGCTGGCGGCCCTCACCGCAGGAGACAGGTTCGTGGCCCGGGGTCCCTTGTCCTGTGGTGAGGGGTGGTGGAGGCGCTCCTCCTCACCGGGGCCCATCCCCATCGGGGCCTGTGGGAACACTGGCATGGGGCTCCCCACCTCGGCTCTGTTTTGCTCTGGGGTCTTGGGTCCCAATCCCTGCCCAGGGGATCTCAAGAGCAGTGGGGACATGGTCACCCCTGTGTGTGCTGGGCAGATGTGTGTGGAGACACTGCAGTCTAGGACGGGGAGACGTGAGGATTAGGATTAGGCTTTCTTTTTCTTTTTTTAAGATGGAGTCTCACTCTATCGCCCAGGCTGGAGTGCACTGGTGCCATCTTGGCTCACTGCAACCTCTGCCTCCCAGGTTCAAGCGATTCTCCTATCCCAGCTTCCCAAGTAGCTGGGATTATAGGCATGGGCCACCACGCCCAGCTAACTTTTGTATTTTTAGTAGAGACAGGGTTTCACCATGTTGTCCAGGCTGGTCTCGAACTCCTGACCTCAAATGGTCCACCCACCTCGGCCTCCCAAAGTGCTAGGGTTACAGGCGTAAGCCACCATGCCTAGCTAGGATTAGGCTTTCTTACGGGGCTGTGGGCATATTTATTAATTTAGGAAACAAAGCAAATTGAAACCAAGGCTCCTGTGTGACAGTTACATTTCCTTGCCTCAGTGAAAAAGAATCAGGCCAGGTACAGTGGCTCACACCTATAATTCCAATGCTTTAGGAGACTAAGACAGGGGGGTCACTTGAGCCTAGGAGTTTGAGACCAGCCTGGGCAACAGAGTGAGACCCCATCTCTACCAAAAAAATAAAAAATAGCCAGGCATGGTGGTGCGTGCCTGTAGTTCCAGCTATTTGGGAGGCTGAGGCAGGAGGATTGCTCGAGCCCAGGAGGTCGAGACTGCAATAAGCCATGATCGAGCCATTGCACCCCAGCCTGGATGACAGACTGAGACCCTGTCTCAAAAAATAAAAAAGAGAAACAGCCCGAGCTTTGTTTTCTGGAGGAGGCGGTGTGTATTGTGTAGCAGGGTTTCTCACCTCCGTCGGTGCTATGCACACGCAGGGCCGGGTAGTTCTTTGTGGGGGGCACTGCCCTGTGTAGTGTCGGATGCTGAGCAGCAGCCCCAGCCTCTGCCCGCCGGATGCCAGCAGGAACCTGTGTGACAACCAGAAGTGTCGCAGACATTGCCCAGCGTCTGGAGGACACCGTCATCCCCGGCTGAGAGCTGCTGGCTTCCAGCCATGTGACAACTGCGATGCTAGCCCTGGGAGTGAGGCGGGACGGGAACCCCTTCTGCAAAGATCAGGAGAGGCTCTGTGCTGTGTGGAGGGGCCGCAGGTGGGCTGTGTCTCGAAGAGTGTGGGAGCAGGTGGGGACGATGATGGGTGTCCAGCAGATGGAGCCACGTGCCCTGGGGCAGCAGAGCAGGCCAGAGCTGTGGAGCAGGCCGGGCCACCTGCTGTGGCTGGGCCACCGTGCCAGGCTGGGGAGGGTCCCAGGCACCCAACCATATTTGGGCTTGATTCTGTGACCAGGTCTGCTTCAGGCGATGTGGGGTGGGGTGGGGTGGGGGGCGCCTGGGTAGGTTAATGGGGGAGATTCTTCTGGTTGGGCAGGAAGGAGGGGCCTGGACACAGGGATGCTTTTTGGTGGCCCAGGTAGCGAGGGCCTGAAAGAGGGCCAGGGCTGGAAGCAGGAGCAGGATGGGGGTGTGCAGGAAAGCCGGCGTTGTTCAGTGTCCGCCGTGGTGTTGACAAGGCTGGAAAGAGCAGCCGTAGGAGACGCATCTCTAGTGAAGATGTGCTCGCCTGATGGGCTCTTCTGAGAGCCTGGAATCCCCAGCGGAGGAGGCGTGGGGAGCCTCAGCAGGTGCTGCGGAGGCGGGGCTCCCTGTGGGTCTGTAGGTACCTCAGTCCTGATGTCCCCTCTGGATAGGCCACACCAGCATCTTACTCATGGGAGTCTTTCATGCGAAAGGCCCCGTTCATGCTGGCCACCATCACCGTCACCTTTGTCCCCTGGGTGGGGTATGCACTGGGGCCTGGCGTGTGTCTAGGTTTATTGGCCCTGTGGGCTGTCATTGCCAAGCACTCACAGAGAGAAGAAGGGGGAAGAGAGCCAGATGGCCACGATCTGGAAGGGTGGGCAGGGGCAGAGGGCCCTGGAGGAGCTGGAGTGAGAGGGACCCAGGAGCGTTAGAGGAAGCCCAGCGGGTGTGTCTTCTAAGAAGGCAGTGGGCATCACATCCGTTCTGTGTATTCCAAATAAGCAGCCACGGGGCCTCCTCGTGGAGGGGTCACATGGTCATTCATGGCATGCCCTTGGGGGCTGATGGCCTGGGTTCCAGCTCTGCCTCAAAATAGCTGTGACCTAATCTTTCTGTGCTTCCGTTTTGTCATCTGAAAATTGGGTGCAGTAGCATTGAGAAGATCGGTGAATTGGCACACAGAAAAGGTTTGGAGGCAGAGCCTGGCATAAGGGACGCACTCTTACTCATTTACTGGGACCTGGCTGCGGGAACTTACCTAGGGTGTTTCCTGCGGAGGGCGGCGAGGGCGTGTCGCGGAGCATGGAGCACAGTGCTCTGGGCCTGCTGCTTCCTGGAGGCTTTGCCCACAGGCCCAGCCTCATTCTGGTCGTCTGTTCAGTCAGCATTTATTGAACAAAAATTACCTGTGCTCTGGTCTGGAGACCAGGAGAAGGTGAGATTCCTTCCCGCAAACAGTCTCAAATGGGGAAAATCATCAACATGGAGTTTTCCTTCGAGAAATTCTGAAAAACCGCAAAGGTTTGATTGTGTCATTGCAAACATCATGTGGCAGGAGATGCTGCCCCGTCGCTGCAGGTCCGGCTGCTTTAATTGTATTTCATCTTCACCACAGAGTTCCCTGGGCCAGGTGTCGCCAGGCCTATTTTGGGCGTGGGAAAAATAAGCAGTCTCTTGATGCTGTGGAGAAAGCAGCGTTCTTCGTGACATTAGATGAAACTGAGCAAGGATACAGAAGGGAAGACCCAGATACATCAATGGACAGCTATGCCAAGTCTCTACTGCACGGCCGGTGTTACGACAGGTACCGTCCACACCTTTGGAGACACGGGAGTGTGCCCACGAGCTTGAAATAAATACCCCGGGTGTCTGACATTCACCCCCGAGCATCTACACTACTAAGGAAGAAGATGGCATAAAAATATAGACTTCAGTTTTCTTTCTTTCTTTTTTTTTTTTTTTTTTT